AAAAGTTTAAAAAGAATTTTATAAAACAAAATTATTTTGACTAAAGCCTCAATGCCACTGAAGACCCTGCCCACATACTGTCTAAACCACCTGGGCTGCTACACTTTGGGATACAATAGCTGGCTTCAGAAGATCTCTCACAATCTGGGGGTCACATGGACCAAGCCTCCCTGCTCCATGGGCAGCACCTGTGAGTCAGCTCTGCCCTCACTGCTGCTCTGAGCTACATCTGACAACTCTAGAGCCAGGCAGCAATTTTCTAAGCCTCACCCAAGGTGTCAATTCTGTAACTCAAAGGGATCATCCACATTTATATGCTCTGCTTGAAAAGCTTCACTTGCTATATTTAATTCAATAAATATGTATTAAATGCTTATAATATGAAAAGTACAACCAAACACAGGGCAAAGTCATTTGTATTACATAATCTACATTTAGCAATTTGTAGAAAATTGTTCCAAAGGTAACAAGTTCTATTATTCTATCAAACAGGTCTAATTCGTTCAATCAGTTCCTACCAAAAGGCTACTTTACATCTTTTTAGGGACTGGATGAAGCATTAACTAATTACTTATTTGCCTCCAAATCAAGGTGCTCAATTCTTAGGCAGCTTTGTGTGGCTGCAGTCTCAACTTGGTGCTGTGAAAGTACTTTACAGGGCCATGCCCAGCTTCCTCCCTCCCCCAAAAGAATGGAAGAAAGCAAAAGACATGGCACATTTAAATGTTGTCCCATAAAGCTTCTGTTTTAATGATGTGCGTGTGTGTGTGCACATGCACACACACACATGAGGTACAGGGTCATAATACAAAATGTATTGCTTACTAGGAGGCACATCAAGAATTTCAAAGTCACATGTCTTGGCCATGTGAAGAAACATAAAGACTTAAAATAAACTACCCCCGAAAGTAAATGTATGGGCTGAAAACTGGGCTTCTTAGTGGGGTCTGAAAGGACTATCAGAAATAGCCTTTTAAATTCAGTTGTCAATCAGTGGCTGAGCCCAGAAGTAGATATCTCAGCTTGCTTGTTCTCATCTCATCTCCTGCTATCCATCTTGAGACTGTTAACCTTTTCAGTGCCACAGTCCTTATCCCATCAAACACATCAAGAGCTATGCAGCCAAGCTGGCCCCTTTCTAGCAGCAAATGGAGACAGAGCACAACGTGACATAAAAACCAGTCACTATTTTACTAGTCAACTCCATGAGGGGAAGGGCAGATAGTTATTCTGGTCTATAATAAAAACACAAAACAGGGATAAGCACTCAGCAGGTTCCAGCAAGCCAGATAGGGAAGGCATGATAGACCAGTAGGGGCCCAGCCAGTCTCCCAGGAAGGCACACCAAGTTCTACTTGTTTACATTTTTGTTTGGCAGGGGGTAGGCAGAGAAAGATGATCTTAACATTTGGTTTTTGTTTTTAAGTATAATAGCAGTCAAGGAAGAACCCTAAAGAGTTGTTGGATTTTCTTATTCATTTTTATTTAGTTTTAATTTTATTTTGAAGTAAAGTACCCCCCTCAGTACTACAGGGAGACTGGTTCCAAGATCCTCAGGAGATATCAAGTTCTGAGAATACTCAAGCATCTGTGCTGTGACCTTGGCAGTAGGCACTGAAGGCAATGTCCTGCATGTTCTAAGTCTTGCTGCTCTAAGGCCAGATATGCAGATAAGTAGCATCATTTCACCTGAGAGCCTGACAGAGCTACAGATCCCCAGAACTCCTGAGGCAGAATTTGCATTTTAATAAGACCTCAGGTGATTCACACCTACAAGTTTCAGAGTATGGTCTAGGAGTGGTCAGACAGAGTGGGCTGTTTTTTTAATAAAGTTTTATTGAATCATAGCTATACCCCCTGCTTTCTTTTATCCATGCTGTGCATAGCTGAGTAGCTACAACTGAGACCATAGACTTCATGTGACCTAGAAAGCCTAAAACATTTATATAGATCCCTCTTCTAACCTCTGATCTAGAACCTATTACAGGGTTTTGGCTTTAGTTAGATAAGTGTGGCACTGCCCCAAACAAAACTTAGCTCCTTGGTGCCCCAGCAACCACTGAAATGTAAGCTCTGAATATGTTTAAGACAAAGTTCTATTGATACCCCTACAACACTTTCCTGCTGAAGACAGACTGTTGGGGAGATCAGAAATCCTGTCCACTCAATTGCTAGAATCATCTTCCTATATTTAAGCATTGTTTTAACTAACTCACCTGAGAAGTCATCAAGGCCCTTCCTGCTTATGGAATGAGGTCCATCCCCTTCAGGGCCGCCAGTCCTACTGCTTCTGTCATTTTCTACTTTGTCTCTGCTCCCTGACTCTGCTGCAGTCACCCAACGAGTTGCTCAAACTAAACCACCACCACCACTCCTGCCCCATACTGTCCACTGTTGCATGGTCTTAGAGTTCCCTGGACACATACCCAGATGTCTCCTTAAAGACCATCTACACCAGGGCTTCCTCTAAAGATTTCCCAATTCCCCAACTGCAAATCACAGCTCTCCCCTTCCTTTCAAAGATCACAATAGAATGAAAAGTGTCACTTCTTCCTCCTTCTACTTTTAATGTTTCTAGGAGTGCCTTGGATATTTTTCTCTAAATAATAAATGAATCATATATATATATTTTTATTTATTTTAACATTTTAGATGAGGAAATAAATCCCTGTGGGATAGGGGTCCTAAGAAAAACAAGTTACCTATAATGAAACCTGCAGCATTTCCCATTTTGGGACACCCTCCTAGAAACAAATCCCAGGGATCTGAATTTCTCTGGGTTAAAATACCTCTGCTGCCTTACAAGGCCTGCAGAATTAAGGAGAACAACTTATGTATAAAGTGCCTAGCATAGTTCTGGGCACATAAAAGATGCTTACTAAATATTTATTTCCTTCTATTCCTGTCCTCGGGGGATGGGACCATGTCTGTTGAGTGAAAAAAAATACAACTTGATGCCCCGAATTGAATAACGAACCATTCATAGTCCTGCCGGGTGCAGGAGCAGTTGGACACAACCACGGGTCTGTCAAAGTCTTCTCCATTGAAGCATGTCGCATGGGGGGTCCTCCGTTTGAAAACAGTCTTGTGCCCTAGCAAACACTCATTCCCCCGCTCATCCGACGGTGACCACAGTTTGTAGTCATTCTCTGTGCAGGGAACCCCTGAAGAAAAGAAAGCACTGAGCATCAGAGCCAGGCCCATGTAGGATTTCCTGTCTCGCCACCCACCTCAGCACTGCCCCCCCACTTCCTATGCATCCGGTTGCCATCCAACAGGTGCAGAGCTTGGGCGCCATCGTGAGCCTCTAATGGGCTTGTGCTGAAGCTGGGCAGCACCCACACCAATGAAAACGATGCAGCTGGAAACACAAACACTCATCTGAGGAAACTGGGGAGAAGAAGCCCCTTTTTAGCACCAAATTTCTGAATTATTTGAAGATACTCATCAGTTTCCTTTAAAAATAGGTACACAAGGGCATTTCTCTCCTAGGAAACTACAGGCAGGCTGAGAGCTCAGTGATGATGTCATTCGGGGTTACTGTTCCCTGCCTGCTTCCTCTTGTGGCGCAGGCACACCTGAAGTAGGGCCCAAGAGCACTGCAGACAATGCTTGCCCTACTTGGAAGTGCAGTATCTCTGTGGAAAATGCTGAGGAGTGGTGAGACAACATGTAGAGTCACCCCACCTGCCCATATCCACGGAGAATGTCAGCAGGGTGATTCCTGCAGGAATTCCAGAGCATGCCTATGTCTATACTGGTAACTTGCATCTTTTTTCCAAGTGTCTTTGTTCAGATTAAATTCTACCTGAAGTAGATTCACAACTGTCAACTCAATGCCATTCAAACAGTGAAGACTGAGTAAAACCCCACTGCCTATGAGGCAACGAGGCCACCCAATAGGAATAAAACATACACAGAACATGCACTTGCTTTTAAGGGTCTTATGAGCTAATTGATGGAAGATGGCACATGGGGAATACCAAACACAAATTCACAATTCCAGGCACGCCCAACATTTATTTCTGGGCATAGAAAAGAGGGGAGGTGTCTTCTGGTTGAGATACAGTGGCAAGTGTGTTGGATTCTGAGACATGAAAGGGGTTTCTACTAGTGGAGGTTAAATGGGTGGAGGTGAGAAGACACCAGGAACTCTGTGCAGCTGGAATAATGTTGGCCACAGCAGAGAAGAAGAAAAAAGCAGAACATGGGGAGTGTGAGGGGATGCTGACAAGCTTCCCTCCTCCTTGCTTACTTACCTGTCCTGTATCTACACTAGCAGATCATGACTGGGCTCTGGACAGCTTTGAGAGGACCCTGCGTCACTGAGCACTTTGCCTTCCACAGTGAAGCACACTCACTGGGTACATCACCTTGGAACTGCTGATTTGGAAAATTTTTTTTTGTTCATTCATTCATTCATTCATTCATTCATTCATTCATCCATCCATCCACATATTCAAGAGCCAAATATTCAGACCTATTGTGTGCCAGGACTGTACAATGTAACCATAATATAAAGAATACACAATCCTATTAAGGATTAAGTAAGCCTTCATATTACCTCCCTGTGTTTTTCTCTGACTTTTTAAAGATGCCCATTTCCCCCATTGAATCACAAACTCTTCTGAGGATGTAGTTCCCAAGCTGATGCTTTGCACACATCAGGAGGTCAATCAACATGTTGGAAAAAGAGCCCAGGAGGCTACAGCTTACCCAAGGCATCGGTGGCATTGACTTGGAGGATAAGCCAGCTGTGGACATTCTCCTTGTTTGAGCCAAAGATGGTGAAGACAGTGCTCTTCTCCCCGGGTTCTGTGAGGAGCCCATACACAAACACGGGCTTCTCAGAGAAGATGAACGTCTTCCAGGTCTCGCCTTCATTTGTACTATATCTGCCCAATGCAAATAAAAGGAATGATACAGTTACAGTCTCAACCATCAGAGCTTGGTTTCCACATCACATCGCCAGGAGCTCTTGGGAAATGTCTGCTCCTGGTTACTGTGGAGCAGTCATGTTTGTGTCAGAAAGCAAGGAAGCCTGAGCTAATGCAATCACCTCAAGAGGACACAGGAACCAGCTGATGGAGCCCCAAATGGCCAAATTTACAGTAAACTGAACATAAAATACAAAGAACAGTAACAGATTATGTACTAAAATAGGATATGAAAATAGGATGTGGACCTCTACTGATTCTAAAAGAAAGAGAAGCAAGGAAAAAAATTATATTAGAACACTAACTAATAAGCATTAACAACTAGAATTTAAAAAATTATAATTTTATAACACCACCGTAATAATTGAATCAGACAAGAACAATCACTGGATGCTAAAACCACTGGATGAAAGTTTTGGGGACCAAGATGTTTGCATGGTATAAAGATATCAACCCACCGACCAATCATTCACCACACAGGGGAACCTGTAATTTTGCAATGGATGACGAGTCAAAGCTTAACCAATCTTAGCATCACTAATAATAGGACAACCTGACATTATGTGTCCCCTAAGTAAAATACTGAGAATGGTACATCATCTCAGCACTCTTCTATACAATTGGACAAATCTAGAATATGAGGCATTCTATGAGATGACTGCTCCAGATTCCTCAAAGGAAAAAAAAAATCAAGGTCAAGAAAACTAAACAAACCAAAGGAGGCAAAAAACCTGTTACAGATTAAAAGAGACTAATGAGATATAACAACCAAATGCAATGTGTAGACACATTTGCAATGTGCAAATCCAGTTCTGGATTGACTGAATCCTGGATTGAGGGAAAATTTTCAAAAACTACACATCAACAACAACATGGGTCAACTGAGAAAATATTGATATAGCTTGTAATAATACTAATAGGCTTTGTCTTAGTATTCTTAGGTGCAATATGAGCAGTGTCAGTAGATAGGAAAATGCTCATATTTATTGGAGAAACGGGTTTTAAGTACATATTTAGCAGTGAAGTGGCATGAGTCTACAACTTTCAAATGATTCAGTCTCAAAAAAGATGAATAGCTAAATACACAGATGATAGAAGTAAACCAAACTAGCAAAATATTTACAATTAGTGACTCTGGGGAAAGATATATGGGTATTCTTTACACAGGTCTTCCAACTTTCATGTGGTCTGAAAATTTTGAAATTTGGCTGGGTACGCTGTAATCCCAGGCACTCAGGAGGCTGAAGCAGAAGGATTGTGAGTTCAAAGTCAGCCTCAGCAACTCCCTGAGACCCTGTAGCAAAATAAAATATAAAAAGGGATAGGGATGTTGCTCATTGGTTAAGCACCCCTGGGTTCAACCTCTGGTACCAAAACAAAAAAAGATTTTTAAGTTGGAGAAAAGGCATGTCCTAAGAGGGGCAAAATATATCAGAAAAAGCAAGCAAGCCCTTGGAGGAAAGTAGCACTAGTGAGACTGTACTAACTTTAAATTATCTTTTGTATAGAGGGGAGTGGGTAGAGAGGAGAAGCAGAGAAGAAAACCTGCCTGCTACTTGCCTCAGTACTCAGTGAGCTAGGAGAAGCTCCACATGAGAAACGCTCAATGGGAGCCTTCTTTGGAACCATGAGACTAGGTCTCTCTTAACTCCTAATACACAAACCTTTTTCTTTCGCCTTTCTCATATTTTTGAGATTTTAGTTTTCTTCCCTTGGGGTTCCAATACTTGACATAAATCTTTGTATGACGTCAATTAATCCAAGCACTTCCTCTTCTGCTGAGATTTCTAAAACTGATACTTCTACAAGAAGGCTAGAGGTTCAACCAGGTGGTGGGCTTACACAGCAACACAATGAATGTCCACAGATCTTATAAGAGTGGAAATTCTCATCTGGCAGATATGCTTTTCATTTAAGTGAGTTTTGAAGCAGTTGTGGATAAGTCAACTCATTCAATCTCTTTCTGGAACTAATGTGACAAGTTAAAAGTTTTAGTATCACTTTTAAACCAAACAACAGAGGTGGCCTATCAATCAGATTAGATGGGAGTGATCCCCAGTCTGTGAAAAAGTTGCAAGTCCTTCTATTTGTATACTGCCAAGTTAATTTTCCATTTAGGAGCTCCTTGTACCAAAGATAACCTCGGGAAATGATTCATCCCTTTTCTTGCAAGATTCCCAGAGGACTTTGATGACATCATTAATAGACTAGCCAGCAGGTGCATCGCCAGGCACAGCTTGGTATCTGAGAATAACTGCTCATTTAGAAAGTGGTACTTCTTCAGAATTTGGGGGAAAAGGACAGTCACATGACATATGTAGTGTTTAAGCGGACATCTATTTTGGACTGAATTCTGACCGCTAAAGGAGAAATTGTGCTGGTGAAATGCCAGTAAAAAGAACCTTGGGATAAAACAAGGCAAGTCATCTTTCTGTTCTGAAGTCGAGAGAGAGAGGATGCAGAGCCCATGCCCTAGAAATGGAGAATTCCAAATGTTCAGGTAAAAATATAGATAATCCCAGGGCTGAAAACTCTCAAGAGGGCTGGAAAATCCATAATATGCTACAATAATATAAAATAATAAAATGTAAGCATAGATACTTTACAAGGGGGAAGCAGTGGCAGCCAGCCAACCTCAAGACACCATCGTGTAGCTGCACAGAAAGATCCATGATACCTCAGATGTTTTTAAACAATGTGTTCAAGATGGAAAAAGAGTCATATACCTAAGGGCAAAAAAGTTAAAGAGCCCAGTAGTCTGCCAGTTCTTTCCAGCTGTAATTCTAGTAGCTTGCTGGAATAGCAGCCAAGTAACTCAAGTTCAAATGAGTCAAGTATTATATTTCAAATTACCAAAATAACTGGTATATTTGTGAGTCAGTGGGATAGCGGGTTGGTTAACTACTAAATTCTATCAAGGATTAGAAAGTATTAAGATCATTCTTCTATGGTATAAATAATAATTATAGAAAAGAAAATTTTCTATTTTTGTTATCTTTATCAAGGAGAATGATCTTCAAATTAAACAAGGGGTGAAAAAGTTAGGAAAGTTTAAGAAAAATGAATACAAAATAAATTCTAGGAAATGGAAAGACAGGATGATTAGAGAGTCTCAATCTCTAGATGAGTCATGGAGAACAAAGATCTCAAAGACTAGAGGAAGAAAAATGGTTTAATATACCTAAAGAAGAAATGGTAATCTTGAGAATGGCTTGTGCAGCAGTGATTTGAGAGCACTGAGGAAAAAAGAAAGTCAGGGCTGGGGACCATGTCACAACAAACTACTCCCTTTTCTTTTCCTGCTGGTAATTCTTAATTTGAAGAACAGGATAATGATAGCATTATTATTTTTTTAGGAAGATCTTTCTGGACCACACAGTTAGATAAAATACATTTGCTGCTGGGGAAACAAACAAATCCCAGAGGGTTGATATACTGATCTTAACTCAAAATAAGACTCTATTTCTCACAGAGCTCAACACATCTGTCAATGATCTGGACACTAATCAGCAAGGTGAGTATACTGAACTGGCCAAGGGTACAAGGCTAACTGCACAGAAAACACAATAAATGCCAAAAATGAGACTCAAAATGCTTTCTTACATCAAAAGGACATGCACAGATAAGAAGAAAAACAAAATGCCACACAGTTTTAAAATTTTACCTGATCAAATATAGGATTGGGAACACCTGACCTTTAATAAAATCCATTAAAAAAAAGGAACCTTGAGTTTTTAAGTTCCACTGAACTCAGCCTAGTGACACAAATTTCAAGGATAAATCTCAAAAATAGTTTGCTGAGCAAAAAAAGCCAAATATACAAAAAAAATATGAACATGAAAATCTGAAATGAGCAAAACTATCCTACAGGGATATTAAAATCACAGCAGCATTTGCCTCTAATGGGCGGAAAAATGGGGGGTAGCACTTCCTGGGAAGGTGCATGAGGGTATTTGCTGGAGAGATGGAGAGCCTCTACATCTGGACATACATCCTTCAGAACTGATTAAACAGTGTAGTTAAGATCTGAGCACCTTGTTGTACATAAATGGTATCTCAGTTTTAAAAAAAAAATTAATAAGAGTCACCAATTTGAGTGGCTGTCAAAAGTGAAAATTCAGTGTTGGGTTTTTACTAACAGAAATAGTGTCCCAACCATACAGATATTAAGCCCAATGTTCTCCACTTGTTTCAGGCTACCCATATTTTAAGGCATTGACATTGTGAGACAGATCTATAGCAGAACCCAGAAGGTGGGACTCAGGAACCTGCAGCATACAGGGAAAGGAACTGGGATGGTTTCCATAGAAGGCAGGTACTTGGGAGGACATACACAGGGTCCTCAAATGTCTGAAAGGCTTTTGGATGAGAGGAAATATCCGTTGTGTATCTTGAGGGAGCAGAACAATAAGCACAGTGGTTAAAAGCTGGAATGCAGAGAATTTGGGCTATTACCAGAGAACTTTCACTCATAAACGAATGAATGAAATAAATGGGTGAATGAATAAATGAATGAACAAATGAATGAACAATAAAGTGTTACTAAGTGAAGTGGAAGCTTTTGATCTGGTAAATATCGCCATTGATAGGATTGTTCAAGCAAAGACTGGATGATCCTGTCATGGGTAGTGGAAGGTAGTGGAACCAGATGACATAATAGGTCCAGGTCCCTGGACCTGGTTAATCCAAAATATTATTAACTGTCATTAATATCACCATGCTGACAGGCAAACTGCCAAGAAGAAGCGGAAACTGATCTCCCCTGTGACCTGCTGCAGCCCATGAGATCCAACTTGCCTAAATCTGCCTTCTTTACGCACCCTGAAGCCCACTCCTTCACCTCTGCTTTATTTCAGTGGGAGCTCCCTAGACTGTCACCCCTGCTAGTTTGAAAGCCTATCCCGCAGACTTTATCCTCACACCTACCCCAGCATCGGCTCTCACCTCCCAGCCGTGCTCCTTTTTGAGTTTATCCTCCTCATTCTGCCAGAGCCACATATCTATAATGTAGATCTAGCCATGCGTTCCCCTCAAAGGGGAAGCTTGATCTCTTCAGTAAGGCACAGGTAAGATCCCCAGGCCCTAGCCCCTACTTCAAGCCTTGTTCCTCACCCTTCGCCAGCTCCCAATCTGCACTCTTACCACAGGAGAGCTGCCATCCCACACCAACTCAAGCTCAAGCTCTTTCTAACCCTGGATGGCAATCCGACCTTGCTTTTTATCCTCTAGCTTTAGCTCAAGTTCCATCTCTTCTGAGAAATACAGGATAAGGCCCTCATTGTGGCTCCCACTGCGCCCTGTGTTCACCTCCATCTCATACCCCACTATATTTAAATGACCTGGGCCTGTGAGGGTTTTCTACTAGACTACGATTCATCAGGAATAAGACCTCTCCCCTCACTTTCCTATCCTGCACCTGGCACCTTTTCTATCAGATGGAAGGGGCAATAATTCAGGCTTGTTAAAGCAAATAAAATAAACTGCACTGAATCTTCAATTTTTTTTAACCCCATCTCTTAGTTTCTTAACAGTTAAAAGGTGATAAAGACACCTGCTCCTCTCCACCTCAAGGGGCAGAGGAAGCCACATGGGGATTGAATGGGAGGCTGGCTCTGCAACTGCCCCATAGTGTCACTTCTAGTGTTAGGGCTGAACCAAGATAAGAGGTAAACTGCTGCCTCCCACATCCTGTGGGGCTGTGTTCAGAACTCAGGTCCAGAAAAGACAGCTGCTCTGCTGTGTGTTCTCTTTGCAGGGGCTGTTCAGGATTCCCAGAGGGAAGCCCTACGTTGGAAACCTCCTCAGATAAAAGATGCTTTGGGGTTAATCCAAAATATTATTAACTATCAATAATATCACCATGCTGACAGGCAAACTGCCAAGAAGAAGTGGAAACTGATCTCATCTTTCCTGATCAAGCCAACAAATGTGTTTGGATTTTTTTTTTTTTTTTTGGTCAAGATGCAAAACACAACAGCCTGAAGAAAACTGATTATACATGAAACTGCTCCCATGCATCCCCCAAGCAGGTTCCTGCTGGCAGCATGCTGAATGAATGCATAAGTGAATCCCCAGCACAGGCTCTCATTCGATCATTTCAGACATGTAGACACAACAACAAAACAAAGTGTTCCACTTCTTACTCTCAATTTCAATTAACAATAACAAAGGTAACAGTCTCAGCAGAGAATCAAGGCAGATGCTGAAACAAATAACAGTCAACTCTTAGTTATCTGTGCTAATCAGGGAGAGAAAGACATGAATAATTTAAATGAACAACCACCAAGGGGGTGGGGGATCCAACTCTTAAGTACCATTCCTACCTGTCCCCACTACCTCTAACTAGAATGCCAGCTGCTACTCTGCTTGGCTTTCCTTCCTAAAAGGGGTATCAGGTCAGAAGCATCCCTTCAAAACAAGGTCCTCTTCCTGACCCCTCTTTCTCATGGAACCTCACTGGGCTACCACCCTCACCCAGGCCATACCACACTCACCTCTGTGTCCTTACTGTCTAGCACAACATCTGGTTCATCATAGATCTTCCAAAATCATTTGTGTAACTGAATTAATTTCCCACAGAAATATTCTTATGCTCCAGTGTGGGTATTGACTCCTGTCAAATCACATTATTTCTTCATGTGGACACTGAGGAAGGCAGACTGGATCATCTCTGAAGTCTGCTGAGTACCGCCATATTGCTCACTTCTGGGGAGTCCTCATTGTGCTCAGAGGCTGACATTTACATAGAACACAACAGCAGTGGTCTCCCTTGGAGCTGTGCAAATGGCACCCTACCCAATTCCTTTCAGTGTCATAAATCAGCAAAACAAAAAAAAACCGAGCTTGGAAAACAGAGTATGCTTGACCTACTTATTGATCAATCAAATATTTGCTAAATGCCTTAGCAGGCACTTGTATAGAATAAAAATACTTGTCTATATAAAGGCCTTAGTAATGAGCTGAAGAATTCAGGCATTTAATGAAAAGGTCATTAAAAAAAGGAGCCAGAATGTGATCAATGCTAAATTAATGGGATGGCCAATAAAGGCTATGAGGTTCAAAGGACAGAGAGATCGCCATGGTGAGGAGAACGGACTTAGAGGGAGATGAAGCCCTAGACCAGCAACAGATATCCAGTTTTGTCAGAAATGGCCTCACTCATGCCTGGGTATTGCACTGAATCACCACTGCGGTTTAAGGATATGAACTAACTTCAATATTAATTCTCTCCAGAGCAGCAGGAGGACAGGCCAAACACCTCTGGAAGCAACACAGTGAGTAAAAGATCAGGTGGCTACAAGGATTTGGGCCAAGTTCCGGCTGATAGTTAGGACACATGTACCTGTCAAGAGGAGGCCTGTCCATTTTTTCCATATTTGCAAATGCCTTGTTTGAACTATGCATTACAGACACCTCTAAATGACCTACAAATAGAGGAAGACTATTCTGTCCATAACCCCCAAAGTCTACAACCCTGAAGTCATTAAGAAATGCCTGGGGAGGGCGTTAGGATGTTCTGGCAGCAGGTTTGTTTTCCTGGTGTGTTTTGCTCCAGCTAGTGTGGAATGACGCTGCAATCCCGGAGCACATATGCGCCGACAGATGGTGTAAGAGGACTAGAATCACACTCGCTCCTTCAGAGGAGCCAGCTTGGAATGCAAATGTAATCTGTGGAGAAGTTCAACAAGGAAATCGAGAATGGACTCTAAAATCTGAAAGCCATACAAAGAATAAAATGTATTCCGAGGAAGCCATGCTCTGTCCCTGCGTGACTTCCATACAATAGTGGTGTACTTAACACTACAATTGTTTCTGAGTCTTTCTCACAGCTAGGGTGGAACGCGTAAAGGTGGGGGACAACATCCCTTTCCTCTTCAGATACACAGCACCTGGCACAAGAAGTGCTTGCTAAACGTTTGAGGTATGAATTAATAGATACACAAATGTCAGCGCAAACGTGGGAAGCACTGCGCTTTGTGACTGTCATCGTCTGAGCAAACACCAATCTGAACATGAATGCACTGTTGTGTGCAAACAGGGCCTCCTGTGGCTCTTGGCTGCAAAGAGACAGCTGACCAGTGCCACACAGAACAAGGACAGCCAGGTGGAAAGCCAACACCAGCACTTTGCTTCTATCTGCTTCCTGGAGGCCAGGCTGCTCAGCACATGTCCAATTAACCACAGGCGAACAACCAGCTGCTAAGATCTCTCATTTCAAACCACCCACCTCTCTTTTGCTGCTGGCTCTGATTCTAAAAGGAGCTAAGGAAAAGAAAGCTTTCTTCCTTGTTCTAAACAAGATGATTACTGAAGCCTCTCCACTTCCCTTAGTAATTTAGCCAACAGCTTCAGCTCAAAAACAAGGAGAAGTGAAGGCCAGCCTGCCCTGACCAAACATCAATTGTTCAATAACTCCATGAAATTAATCAAAGAGCTGGTGCTCATAAAATCAGGGCTTAAGGGAACAGAAATTATAAACCCTTGACATCACTCTTTTCAGAACAATATATTACAGACAGTACAGGACATAATCTGAAGACCTTAGTGTTTAACAAATGGGAAGACCTTGGGCAAGTGACTTCATCTTGACGAGCCTCATTTTCCTCATCTGTAAATAAAGCAGTTAGGCTCTAACATCCCTTCAACTTCTATGTATGAAAACCCCCGAGACCAAATGTAACACCATCAAAGTTAACTGGCTACAATGGTGGATGCATTCTGCAGTTATTATTCATGTATTACTATTTATTGTTATTATATATTATTAGTCATCATATGAGCAAATCTTTGTGTGTCACACTTATGCAAAGCAAAGACAAGTTAAAGAGTCCCATTTTAGTCATTATACATTCTTTATATTTATGTAGTTATATTTTTTAAACCAATAAATTATTTCCCTTGTTTCTCACAACAATCCTATGAGAAGAAAGAGTAGGTTACTATGCCAACTTTATAGATATGGAAAGTTTAATTTCCAGAGGCCTCAAACTGTGCTGCCAACAACCTAGTGCTATAGAGAAATAATCCACCTACGGTTACAGATATGAATTTCTTGAACAATGTATTGCTGCAAGAAAAGGCTTAGTCAGAGACACTTACTTCAGCTCATTGGTTTCCATGCCCTGGGCGATGGCCATGATGATGCCGCCATGATCTCCCCAGGTGTAGTAGTGAGGTCCAGGAAGCGCCTAGAGAAGAGAAACCAGGGGTGAGGCCACCTGTGTGCAGGTAACCATGCAGAGACCATGCACATGTGAGCCTGTACACACACACAGCAATGTCAACCATCTGAATACAACTTTTCAGTTTACAGAATACATCCACATCCATCATCTTATTTACTCCATTCAATCCTGGCACAGGCAGAGCCATGTTCTCAGATTCCAATTTTTTCCCAAACAAAGAAACAATGTTGACCACAAATAGCAGAGGTAAAACTCAAACCCAGATCTCTGACTCTCATTAATCAGTGACTAAAAATTAACCAGCTGGGGCTACAGGGCATAGCTCATTGATAGGATGCTTGCCTAGCACGCCTAAGGCCCTACGTTCCATTCCTAGCACTGAAAGAATAAAATCAACCAACTAGATTTCCAATTCTACTATGATGGTGTATAGCTCATCCTTCCTAGCAATTACAACTAAAAATTCTGGGTTAAACTTGAAAAAACAAAAAACAGCCACCAGAGGATACTGAAAAGTCAACAAAAGCAGGCATCTTGTGAACAGATTTAAAACCTGGAGAAGCTACCCACATACTTAGGGGTATCCTGATACAGCTTTGACCCAAGGGAAAGCCCCAGTTGTGGAGCA